ACTCTCTTCCTCACCGTGGGGGCCTTGATCTGCATCCCCATGTCCCTTCCCTCCCCCACCTGCCTCCTCCCGCACAACAGATTTATCAGGCTGTACTGCAGCTGTGTGCATGTACATGGCATTTATTGGTGACATCATCGGCCACATCAGTCAGAAAAAGCTGATTGCCAGTAATTTCAGTTTTTCTTTTATTGATGCTGATACGATATGGGACTGATGTATCAGTACACCTCTACTAATTTTATATGATTCTGTCCCTGGTGGAGGAAGCAGGGAGGATCCCCCTACAGTTTACATCTTTCCATTCTGATAACTGATCATTTATACCCACCCTGTTTTCTGTCCTTAAGCCAATTTCTGATCCACAAGTGGATCTTCCCTCTGAAGGAGTGATTCTCAACCAAGTTATTGGTAGATCCTTTTAAGGATGCTATGCAAATTAGCACTGTTAGGCCTGTAAACACCAATATGATTCATAAAGTATACCAAGAGATTTCAGTTAGGAATCCAAGGTGTCAACAACATTGTAACCTGTTCTTATAGTGGAGGGACCTGAGCAGATCGAGTCTGACCCACAGCCTCTCTGCCTGTTGGAACCTGTTCCAGTGTTTTACTGCCCTCCTAGTGAGAGAGTTTTTCCTAATATCTAACCTAAACCTCCTTTGCTGGAATCTGACACCATTGCTCTTTGTCCTGTCATCTGCTGCCACTGAGAACAGTCTATCTCCATCTTCTCTGTAACCACCCTTCAGGTAGTTGAAGGCTGTTATTTAATCCCCTCTTGGTCTTTTTTCCAGACTAATAAGCCTAGCTTCGGTCCCCAGCCTGTACTGGTGCATGGGATGGTTCTATCCAAAGTGCAGGGCTTTGCACATGTCCTTATTGAACCTCATGAGGTTTGTTTTGGTCCAATCCTCCAATTTGTTGAGGTCTGTCTGAATCTTAGCCCTACCCTCCAGCATATCTACTATTCCCCCTAGCTTGGTGTCATCTGCAGACTTGCTGAAGGTCCACTCCATCCCATTTTCCTGTTGATCATCTTGTTGATGAAGACATTGAGCAAAACTGGCCTCAGAACTGACTTCTGAGGCAATCCACTTGATACTGGTTGCCAACTAGACACCAAGCCATTGACTATTACCCTCTGAGCTCAATGAATCAGCCAGTTTTCTGTCCACCTTCCAGTCCATTCATCCAATCTGTACTTAGTTTGCTTGCAAGAATGTTGTGGAAGGCTGTATCAAAAGCCTTGCTAAAGTCAAGGTATAGCATATCCACTGTTCTTCCCACATACGTACAGCCAGTCAAGCAATCAGATTAATCAGGCATGATTTGCCCTTGGTGATCACCACCTCCTCCAAGTGCTTAGAAATGAATTCCTTGAGGATCTGCTCCATGATTTTACCAGGAGCTGATGTGAGGCTGACCAGTCCGTAGTTCTGGATCCTCTTGCTTCCCTTTCTTAAAGGTGGGCACTATAGTCAAGAAATGAATGAGAGCTAAGAGCTGGCATTTTCCGAGGGATGTCTTGAGTCTAAAAAGGTTGAGATCCGCTGTTCTAATGCCATGATGTTGAAACCTTCTGTTGCATGCTTTCAGGATGCTAGGGTAGTACTAAGCGAGCTGTCCCTAGGTTTATCCAGCTCATTAACAACTCTTATAGTGTATGACAGGGATATGTGAGTGCAGAAAACCTAAATGATGTGGAAGCAACTTTGTGAGTAGCTTTTTCCATCTTGTCTTTAAAAAGCCAAAAAACCCACTCCTCTCCATACATTTTTTCAGGGGTGGCTTAATTAAATCTAACACAAGAGAGCAGAAAATAGGTTAGTGGGAGATTTGAATGGAAATTGTGAATTGTCTAGTAGTTTACTCTAAGGGGATGACAGCAGGCTGCCCAATGTATTTGATAGTTAACTTTTAGAGGTTTTGGTACAGATGAATGGAATGCTTTTTTACTCTTATGTGCACGTCACAAGCCTTGTATCTGTGGCGGGTGCAGAGATCCCACCTCAGGAACACAGCTGGGTATTCGTATCCCTCCGCTGTTTCCACCATGTGAGGCGGGCCAGTAGGGGGTGCTCCTGCACTGAGCCACCCACCTCCCTGCGCCCGACCACCTTCCAGGCTCCGAATGCCTCCCTAGGGGCGCCTTATGTCCGGCCGACCCCTCTCCCGGAGCACACTCGCTAGTCTGGGGGTAACGTGC